CTTCTCCCTCTCCCTCTGGCTGCCTCTCTTACCATCTACTTCACCTTTTACTGTTCTTTCCATCTCTATATATGTATCTCTATCTTTATCACTCTTTCTTTCTCTTTGTCTGTCTCTTTCTCTCTCTCTCCTTCTCTCTTCGTGGCACGCTCTCTGTATCTCTTTCTCTCAATATCTTTATTTACCGCTTCCTCTCTCTATCTGTCTCCGTATATTTCTCTGTATGTCTCTCTTTCTCTCTCTGTCACTGTCTATTTCTCTGTTCAGCTACCTTGCTCTCTTCCTCTGACTATATTTTGTTTATCGTTCACTCTTTCTCTAACAGTCTAATCCTCTCTCTTTCGATCCCTCTCCTTCTCTCTGCCCCTATAGCATCATCTTCTTTCTGTCTCTCTCTCTCTCACACACACTCACATTACAGGGCATTCGCTAGTCTCTTTGTTATCCTTTCGCCTGCCTTCTTAGTTGTATTTCTTACTCGTCTACCATGCTGCTATCACATCAAGTGTTCTCTAATGACATCACAGACTTGATATATCCGCGTTTGATAGACCCAGCCTAAGGGCCAGGCTCAGCTCTGCTGTTGTTGCTGCTGCTGGGGCAGAGTGGAGCGGGTGGTGCGTCTGGTGGTGCGCATGGTTTGCTGGTACGTGAGTGTTTCATTGACACCAAACCATTTTATTTTCACTTTCCCTTTTTTTTTTCTCTTTATACCAATTTTTTTTGGATAGCTCAGCGTTGGTTGAATAAGGAGCTTGGCTGCTGTGCGATTGTGTGTGGGTGTATGGGTGTGTGGGTGAGTGTGTGTGTGGTGCGTTCGTGTGCATTTTGTGAGCTTAATTGAAAATTGAGTGCTTAACTTTGATTTTGTTTTCAACGGAAGCGCGCGCGCCCCACTCGAAACTCAACTCCGAGCAGCGAGTAACGAGGACTCTGCCACGGCTGACTGAATGTCGACATTGCCTGTTGCCTGACCCCAGCACCCCTCTCTCTCTGCATGTCTCTCTCTCCTTCTCTCCTTCTCTCAGCTTGATTGTTGTTTGTGTGCGGCTTTTGGCACATTGAATATTGCACATTGTGACCTCACACACACACACACACACACACACACACACAAACACACACACTGACTCACTCAGATTTATAAGCTCAGCGTGCTGCCATCGCACATTTCCCACACACACATACATCGACATATATCGTTTGTATATATATATATAACTGTGTATATATATATACTTGTATATTGATATATATTGTTTTTCTTTACACCTCGCATTTTTGTGCACAGCTCTCACACAGCATGTCGCTCTTGTCGATGCCTGTTTTCCTTTCATTTTTTTATATACCCTGAACTCGGTTGGTATTATAGGCTGAACGGGGTATATTGTTTACTTGCTCGCAGTGCAAGATACCTTAATATATACTCATATTTACCACATCTGTATACCCATATCTCTATATATGCTTTCATCTCTGGAACTACAATCGATAGACTCCTAAAATATGTAGTCTATAGTATAAAAAATATATATACATGTATATATTCTATAATTATATACAATATTCTGCAATGACTTCTATAAAAAACACGTATTCTACATAAATAATATATTTGTCTATAAATTTAATAAAAGATCTTAAGCTAAACTTTTAAAATTTGATATATATATATTTCTTTTGAATGTTAATTAATTAATGCATACCTGGAGGAATTATGTATCCTTTATAGTCTGGCGTACAGACTGCAAAGAGAGCTAAATATTTGTATATATATGTATATATACCCATAAAATTTACTTAATACAGCTACAGAAAAACTCAGTGTATCCTCCTTTAGTTTCTGTATAGTCTATACAAGAAATTGAGACTAATTGAGCTGAATAAATACATTTTCAGGGTATTAACTAGTCGTTCCATTTACACAAATTCATTCTGTTGCTGTTCTTGCTTCAACCCTGCAGGTAATCTAGAAAAATTCGCCGTAGTTTTTCATCTTAGATTCATCTGCAGGGTATTTTCTAGTCGTGCACTTCACTGCAAGCGCACTCTTACATGTCAAGCTGTTGTTGTTGGCTTTGCTGCTGTTGTTGTTGTTGCTGTTGTAGTTTGTTTTAAATTGACAAATTGACTTGTTGGCTCTGGCACGCCCCCGTTGCTATTTTTGGCTTCAGTCTCGTGTTGTGTTATACTTTTTCATTTTTTTTGGGCTTTCTCTATCTCTCCCTCTCTCCCTCGCGCTGTCAAAGTGAATTCATTAAACACTTTAAAGCACAGCGAGCGGGCCGGGCCCAAAGGGCCGCAAAAGCCTATTTAATTGTGTGCAAATGCAAATCTAATTGTTTCAACCGATTTACTGGCGCCCAACGAATTATGTTTGCGGCTTTTTTTTTATTGTTTTCTGGCGTAACTCTAAAAGTTCTGTTTAATTGTGAAAAGCTCGAACAATTGGCTATATTTTGGCCATAATTGCAAGTGGTTTTAATCATTTAATTGAATGAAAACCAAATAGTTGAAATGTGCTAGGATAGAATAAGGGGTAGAGATAAGGAGAGAGAGGTTTGTAGGGTGGTAGACTCAGAGGAAGGTAGAGGATAGTCAGTGTGTGCTGATTAGCTATGCTTGAAGTAGACTTCATATAATCATATATATTCATATATTCATTATGGTTGCCTATTTCTGTCTAGGGCTTGGTTTGCTAAGGCAGAAAACCTCTTTAGACCTGCTTAGCATAGCTGCCCTTACTCACATGCTGTAACTAACATTAATCCATCATCATCAACCGTCGTTCAGCCTACTATAGCTCATATATACAACATAATATACATGTACAAAAATTTCAGCTAATTTGTTTTCAGCCATTCCTCTCTGTCTGGCAATTTTATATCCCTTGGTATCCAATGTTTGTAAGTCGAAATTCATGAGACAGATATCATAACAACTGAGCTGCTTTGATCTTAAATTCTCTTTGATTACATTAATATTGATTAATTTTGCTGATTACTCAAAATCGATCAAAATTAATACGATATATAACGTTGATTTTACAGCTCACAGGATAACCGACTAAGAGTATTACGAATTTGCATTTGCAATTGATTGTACTTTATGAGGCAAATAGTTGTGCTAACATCAATTTTTGTCAATAGTTAGACTAAGTACTTTCGAAAACGATAACAATTTTTATCGATATCTATTTATTTGAATGTTTAGATTAAGAGTAGAATAGAAGTTTAGTGGTATACATTTCTGATATCTTTTAGTATATTAACAGATTAACAGTAGAATAGAAGTTTTATTGTATACAATTCTGATATCTTTTAGTATATGTCTTTTTATCAAATCGATAAGAAATGTTATCGATAACTGTTGTAATTATGTTTTATGCTTCAATGAGTAGCTCTTACATTTATATTTTCGCATATATTTATATTTGGACATTTTATAAAATCGGTAATTGGTAGCTTGGCTATAAATCGGCCTATGGATCGAGAGAACTATCATATGAATACATATAAAACTTAAGTTTATAATATATAAGTTCTGTAGATTTTCAGTTCCATTTGTTTTTTCATATAAATACATGTAGTTCCTCCACTTGTTAACAGGGCATTTGCTAGTCACTCAATTAGATGAGCTTCATTTGTATACATCTTCCTCCCTCTCTTGCCTTTTTTGGAGCACTCAATCTAACCCCAACTACTGTCGAGTGCCCCCCACAACTCACGTGTTTGTTTATATTTACTCAAATGTCAGTTGTTGTTTAATTATGTAACAGTATCTAAACATAATGAGCTTGTGTACGGATGTGTCTCTGTGTTTGTGTGTTGTTGTCTTGGTGTTTATATTTGCATGGACCGCACTGTTGTTGGCTTAAGCATATTTGAGTGTGCGTTGAATTCAAGCAGACGCTGTAAATAAATGGCGCATAGGAAAAAATAAATAAAGCAAACATGCACAGCACACCACATGTGCACACACACACACACATACACATGCACACACACACAGTCACAGCTTGCTTAACTAAACATTTGCCTGCACTAATTGCAAACAGTGCAAACTGCTAGTTGCGCATTAATCATGGGAATTATCGGTCTCTAGCATAAATAATGTTAAACCTCAGCAACAACCATGACTTTAGGAACAACCAGACTAACAACAAACTGTACACATAAACACATATACATATATATGTATGTATGTTTGTTTATACATATTTTGTTATGCATTGTACCGCAAAAAGCATTTTACTTCTGTGATTCCATGCGGTTGCCTTGTCTTTTTGTGGTTAGCAGGTCATAGCAAATGTACTTTAAATAATATATAATATACTTAGACTCACTTATATTCATTATAAAACACACACACACGCATACACACTAATATATCACTTGCGTTGATTAGATAAAGGTGCAGAGAACTGCATTGCAGCTGCAACATAGAAATTCACATTAGTTGAGCTCCAGAAAACAAAGGAACTTTATTTTCGTTTCGCTTAAAACATGCATTGTTGTATAGAAATTTAGTGAAATAATTATATTTTGGTAGGAAAAATATTACATTTTTGCTTAAATTGAAATTAGGGTATTCCTAGAAATTTTTAATTGCAATGCAAATGCTTGGAGGGAAGATAGACTGCTTAAGATAGAAGACTCCAGATGTAGAATATAGAGCGTGCCAAACAGAAGACAGACAATCGAAGATCTTAGATATATGATTAAAAGACGACAATAGATAGATAGAAATATTTAAGATAGATAGATAGAGAAATTTAAGAAAGAATTAATAGATAGGAAAAATAAAATGAAATTTGCTTAAAATGAAAAAGAGAGGGAGGGAGAGAAAGAGAGATAGAAAGTTAGAGATAAAACGGAAAGAGGGAGACAGGGATTTTTAATATGAAACGTTTAGATCCCATCTGAATGAAACTACAGTAGAGTCCGGTTATAACGACACTCAGGGGAAGGACGAGCTTACGGATGCTTTAAACAGGAGGTTTCTTTCATATAAGTTTGTATGGGGATCAACCAAGACATCGAATTTTCGTCGACATAACCAGTTGGACGCTTTAAGCGAAGTCGTTATAACCGGATTCTACTGTATATATAACTGGCCAAACTTTTCAAAGCCTGGTAAAGCTTTTAATAAAGCAATTTTTGTAAAGCGTTATAAATTGGCTAGATTAATAGTTTTTGGGTGCTTTCTGAAAGCGCTCTTAACATTTTCTTACTATTGTCTCGATATTGGAATACCTTTAAGCCTTGAAATGGAGCCTTTAGTAAAATGTTGATAGCAGCTTATTTTGCTTGTGTGATGTTTGTTGTCAAAGTCAGCTTTATATGAGCCACTCGAGCGATTTTCTGCTTCATCTAAATGAATAGAGCAGTCAGCAGACACACACACACGCACACACGCACACGCACACCTCAAATAATACTTAATGTAATAAAAAAAAATCACAATGCGCACTTTGAAATATTTGTGCGTAGAAGTTGTAAGCAGTTGACATGCTTGATAAAGTCGCCCCGGTAACACAGAGTAAACAGGAGGGAGAGAGTATGTGTGTGTGTGTGTGTGTGTGTGGTGCAGGTGAAACACACTTGGCCCATTTTTGGTGGCAGCCATCATCGTCATCAGCATTAGCAACATCATTGAGAATAAATGCCACAGCAACTGGCTGCGCATTCAAGTGACTTAATTAAACGTTTTCCTGGCACAGATAAATGCCAAGGTGTGTGCGTGTGTGGGTGTGTGCTTGTGTGTTGGTATATGCAGCACTGCGACACACACTGAAGCAAAAAGTTGGCACAGACAGAGAGAGAGAGAGACAGAGAGAGAGTGAGACAGAGAGCATTGCAAATGGTTAGAATGAATGATAGCTTGCGCATACACACACAGCTGATTGTGCGTGTGTGTGTGTGAGGCACGTTCTTATAAATTGCACACGCACTCAGTTAGTAGGTGCTTCAATCTTCAATCTATGCGAAATTAATGCACAACAACGCGCCGCCATCAAGGTCGCCTACAGGTCGCACCAACCAGACTCAACTCAACTCGACTAACTAGGCTTACCAGCTAGTTTTCAGTTTACTCCAAACTACATATACATACATAAATACATACAGGCACACATATATGTATGTATATATAGTCTTGCTTTCCACTCAACAAGAAGTTCTTGAGCTCTTGATAAAAGTGCATTATTAACACTTCAGCACTGCTCGCAATGGAAACTGCATTCTGTATACAAAATTCTTTTCATCTTTCTTTCTTTCGCTCTTTTTTTGATGTGCTCTTTGGTTTACCAAAAATAAACCTTAAATATAGTTAGTGGGCGGTTTTTGGGAGGGAGGCGGGCTGAGCTGTGAGGGTTGAGGGCGATCAGCCACGTCATCATCAGCTTTTCAAAAAGTACAAGTATTGGCTACTCACCTGCCAGCCAGAGAGCAAAGTGGAGCAACTGGTCGGTAGCGGTGGCGGGGGCGGGGGGCGTGGCTTGCAAGAGTTGAAACGGCTATTGCGTAAATCCCAATACAACTTATATTTCTGCGAGCTAAGGTGAGTGAAGGTATATTGGTTTTTGAGAGAAATTTGTGTCACACTGGGGAAGAAATGTTAAGGGAATGAAATGTGTTGGAGGTGTAAAAGAAAATAATATACTAGGGCTTGGCAATGCTTTGAGGTTAGGTAATAGCGGAGTTCCAACTGGGAATTATGAGGCAAACTTGAAGACTTATAGAAAACTGACTTGTTTCATAAGACTTTAATTTGATTTCTTTAAGATTTCTTCTTCTTCTATATAACCCTACCCATATGAATATATAAATAATTCTATTTCAATGGGATGTATCATATTTTTATTATTTATAAATTAAATATAAATATTAAATATTTAAAATTTTTAAATATAAATCACTTGAGATTTCTATTTGGTTTTTAATCAATATTAATATTCAAAATTCAACCTTCAAAATGATTAAGATAGATTATAAAAAAACCTTGTATATCAATCTTATATATCAATATTTACAGATATTTTTTTATTATTCATAAATCACTATCAATAATCTGATAAATTAAATATAGATATCTCGATGAATATGTATATACAAATAATATACAAAAATAAATAGTTTTTAGCCCCATATCATTAGCCTATGCATATTTTATTAGCCCTCTCTGCTGACCTCAGTAATTCTTCTACCTAAATACCACTTGATTTCTCTCTAGAGTCTCTACTCAGCTTACTAAATTGCGTACTCCATATACGCCAATGCCTAGCGTATTACAGATTCGCCAAGCCTCAAGCAAATTGTTTTCAGTTATATTCTGGTTTATTTTTAGAGAGACGTTGGCTCAACTTTTTAACGATAAACTATAACGGCGCATAAAAAGACTCGGGCAAAAGTTGGCAGCAGCAGAAGTTTTTGCCAGAAATTTCCTGCTAACGATCAAGTTTTTTTCTGCCATACCCTGTAATAATTGAATGGGAGTGAAAGGGTAGGTAGTGCTGGCTGACAGATAATGCAGGTAGAAGCAATGACAGCTTGCAGGGTATATTTATTGTTATATGTTTATTGTTCGATTTGATTTACAGGGTATATTCGGGTAGTATATAGAGAGAATTACATATATAGGTTAATATGTGAGTGTAGGGGAGTACAGGGTATCTGAGAGTCGTTCAGTTTTACTGTTGTTTTGTTTTGATTTCTTTTTTTGCCAGCCCTGTTTTCTCCTTGTTCAGCACGTGGCACAGTGAATGGAGCCCGAGACTTGAAAATTGGCCGCATTTGTGTATTTGCTGGCAGCAGTTACGAGTGGCGGCCCACGCGGCGTATGAGTGTTGAGGCATTACGCTTAAAACTGTTTGCCAAAAGTTGGAGCACAGCAAAAGCAACAAAAGCGCGCCAGCTGTTTCCCTTCAGCTCGCCCCCTCCACTTCCACTTCCACTTCCACTTCCACTTTGACTTCGAGTCGAATGTCGATTGTCCAATTTAATTTTAATTTGTGTTCAAAAATCATGAAAGCTGAGATTTCCAGTCAAGAATGCAATGCGTGCTGCTGCATGTGGCATGTGGCATGTGGCAGGCGGATAAGCAGCGGGCGAAATTCCATTTTTGTATGCACAAACTGTTTACTTTGGCGCTGGCCTGGCTAAAACTGATAAGCTGCAGCTGCAACTGCTTAAAGTTGCATGCAACTCTCAGCGCTTGCCACTTGCCCCCTCCTAGATATGCTTCAAATTAGTTTATGTAACATATACTAAAACTATATATGTATATATGTGTGTGCATGTGTGTGTGTGTGTGTGTGTGTAATGGCAGTCATGCGTGCAATCGTTTGATAGCTAGCAACATGCTGCACTTGCCACATGCATCTTGCAACATTTAAACGAATGTTTAAGGCCCAGTGAACATTTGCGCTCGGACCTTGGCGCACATGGCGTATGCGCATTGTGGCACAGTTACCTTTTGAAATAATTAAGACTTTTAGTGCCACACACACACACACACACACACACGCAGACACATGCACACATGCACAGAGAGACAGCGACTGTGCAACTGTGGCCATTACGTGCCACAAACGCCATCGGTGCAAAATATGCTAAGCACTTGCAAGTGCCCAAAGGCGTGGCACAGAGCGTAGGCTCTGCCGACTGGCTGCCCGGCTGCCTCATCGTTGCAAGGCTACACAAGGCCTCCCTCAGTTTTTGCCACGACTGCCTGCTGTTGTTTTTGCTAACTGGCGTTAACGCTCATGGTTTATTCATGAAGCACATTGCCTGACTGCCTGTGCCTGGCCTGGCCTGCTCTGCCTCGTTGCCGTTGCTGTCAGTCTGTCCGTCTGTCCGTCTATCTGTCTGCTGCCTGCTGTTGCATGCCTCAGCTTCCAGCGCTTGTGTTGACCAATTGGATTCAAAAATGAGTCGGCGGTTAGTGATTGCCAGAGTTGGCATACGAGTGTGCATAACACTCGCTCATTCATACGCAGACACACACGCACACATAGACACTCACACATATACTCACGCACATCCATACCAGTTTTTTGTGTAATTCACTTTGCACAGCTTGAAATATTTTGTCCGCAAAAAAAGAAGCGTTTTTGAGCATTGCATTAAAATCGTGTAAGTTCCGACCATGTCTATGAATGTAGAACATTGATAGTCCCATTGCAGCTGCAGTTAAAGAAATCTATATGCCTATACATATGTATATCGTTTTCAAAAGGAAGCTGAAGTAGACCCTAAGTTAATTTCTGTTAGTCGCTCTGATCAATCAAATTTTTGCGTATAGACAGATCTTGGCCTTATATAAGATCATGATATCTTATACAATATTTCGCATTTTCTATGAATATATCGATAGATTTTCTTTTTTCATAAGTCAATCTACATATAGCGAGCTCTACTTAATATATGAAATCTATATAAGCCAGCTGTAAAAAGCGGTGCTTGAAATTTGCCTGAAATTATCGATAAGTTTTTCATAAAATCGATACAAATCGATAATTTTTCATTATATGAGCATATATCAACCACCTTCAGAGTTAGGCTGACCAATTATAGGCTTAGAGGTGCTCTATAGATCACTCAGATAACGAGCTTACAATTTGGCAATAATTCCTTCCTCTTTTATTAAGAGAAGGTGAGCTAAAATCCTTGCCAGATTATTTAATTAATCAATGTGCTTTATGAGCTTTCAACAGCTTTCTTTCATTGTAATATTCAACTAATTCTAATAGCTTCATGCTGAGCAGTTCATTTCCGCTTTATTAAGCTCACGCAGCCAACATTATGAAATACCTATATTCAGTTAAGTTTTCTATTACTGCAGCTATTCCAGGCAGCTGCTATGAATAAATTAATCAAAAGTTGATTTTTTTTATGTTCACTGCCATTAATGCATTGATCTCAATTGAATTGATATGATTAGCTTATTTTATTCAAACCGCATTCAGATCCAATTGACACGGGTTCAAGGACCGGAAATGATTTATAGTCGTAAATAGATAGATATAGATTAATCCAAATGAAAAGGTGATTTCATTGACACCGCAAGCCAATGGCAGCGCACATAAATCTCACATTTTGTTTGGCCTACATTAAAAGCACTTGCAGGAAATTACATTTATGTTTCTTATTTTTAGTGACAGTTTCCTCTTTGTCACACACACACACCCGCACACACACCCTGACACACACAAATCAGAATTCATTTGATTTGATTTGATTTATTTACCGTAATGCATGAAGCGGCGTTCGCGTTCGCTCGCTCGCCCTCTCGTTCGCTCGTTGACAGGCCCCAAAAGTAAATCCATGTCCAAATAGTGCACCATAAATTGAAAATGGCGGCCACGTGTCAGCAGCACCAAAATCGAAAAAGAAAACTAAGTAAGAAGACTGTGGAATGGTATATAATCGACTGCTTGATACACGCTCGTGTTGAGGCAAGAGTTGAACTTGGCTGAGACTGAGGTGAAATAGAGCAGATGAAGAGTGATGAATTCATCAGCGATTCGTGGGAATCAGATTAGGAGTACATATATACCTGTAGAGGAGATGAAGAGTGATGAATCTATCAGTAGACAGGTATATATGTACTCCTAATCCGATTCCTTCGACACTCCGCAACCGATATGCCCACTTTCCGCCTAGCCGAGTGCGTATTGAATGGAGAAAAATTGAGCAAAAGCAAAATGAGAATTGAGGGGATAACTGACAGCAAAAGAGTGTCCAGTAACGAGTATATCAATAGATAGGGGCTTGCACTAAAGCTCGTGACTAGTTGATGTTGACTGTGCGACCCATAAACCTAAATCGGGCAACGAGCGTGGCTTTATGTTTATTTGATGCTCATAACGCGCCCGCTCTCTCTCTCTCCGCTGGCTGTTTGTCCTTGTTGCTTTTTCGGCTCTTGCCATAAAATTGATTGTCCTGCTGCTGCAGGAGAGGACGGCGGCAGGACGACAGGCGCTCAATTTCATGATTTTTCGATCTGCCATTGTTTCTGATTCCAATTTCTTGTTTTTTTTTTTTTTGGTTCGCTTCTTTTTTTAAGCTTCTTTTTTTTTTGGCTGCAGTTTCTGGCAATCGAACTTATGACATGCAATTTGCACAGATATTAAGACAAATTGAATGCTTACGGCTTAGCTATAAATGCAGGCCGTATAAATTGGAACTGCTCTGTCTCTCTCTCTCTCGTTCTCTTCATCTGTCTCTGTCTATCGCATTCTCCTTCTCTATTGTGGCTTTATCGGTCTGTTAAATCATAAATGCCGCAGCACTTGGCAACTCTTGTCATTTGTGATTGAGGCGCTCAGTTCGCCAGCTAAAAGCAATCCTAGCCACATTTTCAATTACATGCGCAGGAGCTGAAAAATGCCAAAAGAAACAAAATAACATTCGCTTACCAACACTGCACGTTCACCTCAAATTTCAATTTACTGTTTGCACACACACAATTTTTCGCAATTTTCGGGTTTTTGTGCCCATGTTTTATGGCCATCAACGGCCGGAATAATGATGTCCAAGCCTTACTCCACCTAGACATGCATATATATGGATATATTTGTATTTGTGCTGCTGAACTCTCATGCTAATGTGTGTGTGTGTGCGTGTGTGTGGGTGTGTGTGGCTAACCACCTTTCATTGCTGCGGTCACAGGTCGGACAACTACTCTTTATTCGCTCTGCATTGCTCAGCTGCACTCTCACTGCTCCGAGTTGTCTGCAATTTTAGCTACAGTTTGTGGCATCGAATGTAATTAACACTGTTAATTGGCAGCTGTCAACACTGTGCAATGTGCAGGTCTAAATTGCAAATTGACCAGTTGACCAACACTCTTTCCCTGCCGTCGGAAACCGAGCTGGCCTCGAGCTCAAGTGTTGGAGGGAAACTTGTAAGAAATTGACGGAAGATGGCTTCGAACGATTGTGGAATTGTCTGTGAGCGAATGTGTGAAATGACAGTGATGTGCATTGTGAGAGAGAGAGAGAGAGAGTGTGATGGGGCATAATATATACAGTTGAGGAATATAATAAAAATTTGTAATATAATAGGAATTTGCGAAAATCCTAAATCTTCTCTGATATCTAGCTTTGACTTTCAAGACATTCAAGTCAAATTTATGTTAATGCAGTCATATAAGATTTGCTTGTTGTATATCGTTTTCCAACACTGTCTTCCATTATGTAGCTTAAGAGTATTTTCAAGAAATGATAGGAAATTCGTGTAGATCTGAAATTTGGGACAATAATTGAGATCGCATTTAGTTTTAGCATAGTACATGTATTTATTTCATACTGTTTTACAACACTATATTCCATATAAAGACAAATCCTTTAAGATTAATTTTCTAGCAAAAGTTCAGGCCAAGAAGTAGCAGATATATTAAATTGTTTTATATTATTGGCTTTGAATTTACATTTTCTATGCCAGCTATTTATTTATTTGTTTACTTCCCGATGCATTTACTATCTACATTATAATAATCTTTTGTCATTTAACTCTTTGTTTTGCTTTTCTTTAAAGCGTATTCGATTGTCATTGCCATTGAGATGCGAACAATTTAATTGTTAATTTTTTATGCCAATTTTTGCATTTGCTTTGTGGTCCCTTTCACAGTTTAATGCTATGTAAACAAAATGCCTGTCTGTTGTTTTTTTTTTTTTTTTTGTACTTTATGCATTTATTTCAAATATATATGTATGTATATACATATATATATAAATTCCATATACAATTTGTGCACAACAAATTAAAAATGAAATAAAAAAATTTATATAAATATAAAAGTAAAGTGTAAAATGCAGCTGAATGTGAAATGTGGAAAATCATCTGTCAAATGTGTTGCACATGAATGTGCGTGTGTGTGAGTGTGTGTGTGTGTGTGTGTGTGCAAAAATTGCAACATTGCATTTGTGATTGTGGTGGTAATCTGTGCTGTTGTTGTTGTTGCTTTTGTTCATCAACAGAAAAACCGACAAAAGCGAAAAGCAGTTCGACTGACGTGTTGCATACTTTTAAGTGCAACTGTATTGGTATGCCGCAGAGCAAATGGCATTAGGGATGGGCGCGTACGGCGACGCGTAAAGCGATACAAAAAGCATTTAAACGAACGGAATTTATTTGATAATTCCTTTTTATTGTTTTATTTTTATTGTTCGCGGGAATATGTTGAAATACAATTATTTTTTTGCATTTTTTGCCGTTTTCTTATTTTTTTTCTTTTTTAAATTGCATAAATTTGTTGGTTATCGGGGAATTATATTTTTTTAAATCTGTTAAGCAAATTTGTTGTTTTCGTTTATTATTCGTAAATATGGGTATTGGATTTTTTGTCTGCACTTAATAACTATATTTAATATATAATAAACCTGTGCATCATCAAAATTTTTTTAAAAGATCATATCATATTTTATTTCAATTCAATTTGAGTACATTTTTTTTGAGTACATATATTTTTAGGATATATTTTGATGATGGTATTTTTTATATTCCTTGATTTTATAGTTTTTGGGTTAAATATTATTTTTTTTTTTTCAAATAAATATTTATTTTTATGAAATATTATATATTCGCTTTCGTGTTTTTTTCTGTGTTAAACTAATTTTTATTAATTTTGATAAACTTTTTGTTTATTCATATATTTTTAAAATGATTTCTCTTTATTATATATATTTTTTGCTGCAGTATTATTATTTGGCAAGCAGAGTTTTTCTTGCGCATTTATAGACGATATTAATTTTAAAATATAAATATTTAAAACTCTTTAGTTTGGCGTTTTTTGGTATATGCTCATATGAAGTCTGGCATTTTATGCTATTATTTGGGTAAATTTTCACTCTGAATGATTTTTTATTTGTTTTTCTTGATTTTTTTGTTGTTGTTTCACATTCAACATTGAATTTAAGATGTTAACTGCAATCGGCTTAAAGACCAACAACAGAGTCGCATCAGAACTTGGCGCTGGGCTTCGGCTCTTTGTTTTTAATGACTCGTCGCCATTGTTTGGCTTTTGTCGTTGCCATTGCCTTTGGCTCTGGCAGTGGCTCTGGCTCTGGCTCTGGCTCTGGCTGTGGCGCTGGCGTGGCATGCGTCCAAGTAATTTTAATTCTATTACCCATTACAAGAGCGAGAAATGCTGCAATGCAATGGGTGCCGCGTCTCACTTTCAAGTACTTTGTGGATGCTGCTGCTGCACTTAATTTCTATTATAATGATGACATGCCGTCTCTGCAAGGGCTGCCCAGCAGACACGCCCCCAAAATGCCCGCACGTAGCCACACACACACACACACACACACATATATATATATAGAGCCACGGCGTTGCCTTATTATTTTCTATTTCTTTTATTTCATTGCATTCTCGGCGCGCTCTCCACTTTTTTTTCCCATTTTTTTTTTTACTTTGGCGACGCGACGCTTCCGCTTTTATGGACATTTAGATGCAAAGTTTCTGGCATAAAAATGGCGTGGCAGATAATTTTCATAATTTTCAACTACATTTCATTGTGCAACTGTGGCGCGGGGGCGTGGCCCGTCCACGGCCAGTCGCTTTCAACTGGCTCGTTATTCTCAGTTTTATTTTCGTGTGACACTAAAAAGGAAGCGAAAAGTCAAAGTCGTTGCAGCAGCAGCAGCAGCAGCAGCAGAGGCAGCAACAGCAGCAAAGTTGGTTTTTATTAGCTCGCTGCTTGCATTTCATTTGGTCATTTCTTCCATTCATTTTTTCCCTTTTTTTGCACACACAAAGCTGATGGCTGGCTCTAAAGAGGTAAAACTTGTAAATATCCTGTAAAAATATCTAAACTTGATTGCATTGTGTAGCAAGCTATTTTTGATTGGAATTTGGTATAATAGCTGCAAAACTTTGATGACTTTTCGTTCCAGTGCTATGAAATCGGTATTTTTAAATCATTAAAAAGATCACACACTAAATTTGAGCAGCGTAGCTTAAGTAGTTCTCGAGTTCTATGGGGCTAGCTGAGTGGAATTATGGAATATATTATGCAGACACATTTAATAATCTCATTTAAGACTGGATCAAGTATCAGTATTCTTAAAAATATTTAAAAATATACGTTTTTAATTTTATATTTCTTCATTACCTTATGCATTATGAATGATTCTTTTGCTTTAAATCATGTAAGTAATGTCGTAAGGAACCTTTACTCCAAATTTAAGCACTCTAGTTAGCATACTTCCCGAGTTCTCAAAGGCTAGCTAGGCTACAATATCATGGAAACTCTTTAAAATGTTATAAAATCTAATTTTTAATATCGTAATGAGCTCACCTACAAAATTTAAGCTCTCCAGCTATTATAGTTCCTGAGTTCGGTGGGGCTATTTATACTAAATATACAGAAATACTAAAAATATTCTATGCACATTCATCCGTTCATTCTTTTTTGGGGTACACTCACTTTTTATGCGCATCTAACTGCACTTGATGTCCGTCATGCCCACTTCTTGCACATTTCTTTTACGGTTTACAGGGTATTATAAGAGCAGCAGCAGCAGCGGCGGCAGCAGGAGCAGCAACGACAGCGCTTGCTTTGTTGCAGTCACTCGGACGCCAGACTGTGGATGGCAGTGTATTATATTTTATTAGCCTCTGCTGGGCAAATTTATGTTATTAAAGGACTTTAAGCCCTTGGCTTTGCCATGACAAATTCAGTTAAGACTCGGTGACGGTCGCGGCGAGCGCCTGAAAGTATGCCATAAAATTGTGCAACGTGTTAAACGGTAAACACGCATTGTGCCAGCGAAACACAGAAAGATAGAGGGAGAGAGAGAGTGTGTGTGTGTGTGTGTGTGTGTGTGTTGGCTGTCATAGAATGCTTAGCATATTGCAATCAAAATGGAAAATATAACATAGTTACGTAAAATGCATTACATGGCTGACAGGCGACAACAAACACAAGCGACACACACACACACGCACGCACACTTAGACACACACATGTGACACACACTCCCCGAGCATATGTTGTCTCTGTCGATGGGCTACAGTTAAGTGCTGCATGTAAACGGGTTTATGACACACACTTCGCTGTCTGCCACACATATCATCTACAGTTGCCCCTCCCTATCTCTCTCTCTCTCTTTCTCTCTATCTCTCTCTGTCTTGCGCTCACTTTCTCTTTTTTTGTATTCCGTTGACTTCGTCTGTAATTCCTTTGGCACCTGCATGTAATGAGTAAAAGGTGGCAAAGGTGTGCCGCTGCTGCTGCTGTTGCTTTACAGCTGCGATGCTTTAATGGCGACACGCTCGCAATGATAATAAAAATCCATTCACTTACACAATCAAATCATTCACAATCATTCACTTAACATCGTGTGCAGTTACAATTTATATGAATTATGAATGTCTGCTCATGTGTTGCAATGGCCACATCACTCACAGTAATTCATTAATGTGTCTAATTTATATGATTGAGGAATGTTTGCCCTTATGTTGGAGTCCATTCACTTGCACATTGAACTCATTCACAATAATTCATAATTGAGATTCTGTTTCTTTTCCACTTAACATTTATTTTTAGAATTTTTATATATAATTAAACTATTTCCCAATCATCCTAAATGCTTTAAAAAATTAAGTATATTCTTTAGAGTCCACTCGCCAGTTGGCGGACTTTAATTCAAATTATGTCTGCGATATATCTCTACTTTGCGCCGAATTATACCTTTCAGCTTTACTCGGCATGATGTCATCTTTAAATAGCACATTTGTCGTAGTTTACCTGGAATTACGTCCTTCACATTTCTCTACCTTTAATGCAACTACGAACTATGTAATCGACTTAACTCTGCTCAACTCTACTTCAAATTATACCTTTGACATATTTCAGTGAACTTTTACTCTGAATTATTTCGACATTTACGTGGAATTATTTCATTGAAATATCTCTCGTTCGTTTTACACCGAATTGCGTTATTCAAAAATGTAATATCCTAGCGGATTATATCTTGCATTGAGGCCTTGGCCTAGTTTAGTTCCAATTAAGTCTTCCTCCCATTACTCGAATAAATATTTTGTGGGTTTATTTGATATTGTTTTTGCTTTATCTAGCCATCCATAATATATATAGGTATGTAATCAAGTTATCTTCTGTTAAATCGTTAATTAAATTTATATTTCCAATCAGAAAGCAGTTTAGTCATACTGCATGAAAAGGCCTAAGCACAAGCTAAAGGCTGGACTTTATTTTGCCTTTGTCTCTCTTGTCGCTTTTGTTTCCATCATACTCTTCTCTTATGTTACCCAAATCACAGTCACTCAATTTGAAGTCGAGCTGATGACTCAGAAATTCATGCACTCGGCTTGCAGACAAATATTTCTCACCTTATCTTTCGCATTCCTTGCTCTTCCCTCAAAAGCATGCCAGCATAAGATATTTTTGATTTGTAAACGTTGCCTAGCTGCAAGAATTCGGTTCATACTTTGATTATTTTGGCTTGCAGTCGAGCCTTTGTCAGCTCATACTTTTGTCTATCCACAGCTACTGTATCAGATCAATGCGAGAGTGAGAGTAGCCTAGCTTGCCTGTAATAGTAAAGTTGAGTTTCG